AGGGACCATGCACATATGGGTAAGTGCTCTACCATCAAGCTGTTTCCTCAACTCCTAGAGCATACATTTATTTTCTCAGGTCTCTGACATGTATCATGTCTAAAAGCCAAGCCCCAGGGCATAGAGATTTTTATCCTATATTATCTTTTTGATTTTTATAACTTTGCATTTTATATTTAGGTCTGTGATCTGTTTGAGGTAAGTTTTGTAAAGAGCATAAGACTTGCCTCAATTTATATTTTTAAATGAGTTTCAATGTCTATTACTATCAGTTGAAAATACCTCCATTACACGATTTGAATGTCTTTGGTTCTTTGTCAAAGATCCGTTGATTATATTTCCTGGTTCTGTTTCTGGAACAGCTCTTTGGTTTTGTAGATGTGTCTATGCTTTCACTAGGGTTAACCTGTCTTTATTATTGTAACTTTACACTCACATTTGAAACAAAATATTGTCCATCCTCCAACTTTGCTTTTCTCTTTTAAGAATGTACTTGCTATTCTGGATTTTGTTTTTTCATGTAGGTTTTAGTCAGTTTATCAATATACAGGAAGCAATGTTTTGGGATTTTGATTGCATTGACTCTGTAGATCAATTATGGAAGAGTTCATATCTTGAAAACATTATTTTCTATTCATGAGCATGAGCTAATGCTCCAGTTATTATTGGCTTTCTTTCATAATTGACTTGCAGTTTTCCTTCTATAGTTTTTCTGCATACTTTGTAGGTTTATGCCTAAGTATTTAATACATGTTTTATGGTCATATATTCATGGGTATGAGTCATTGGAAACTTGTCCAGATGTGCACAGAGTAGAACACCAGGAGAAGATGAGCAGAAACACTGTGTTCTTGTGGCTCCCTGGACTGGCACCCTTCTACTGGGAAGACATTGCTAGTGGCAAGGGCTGTGAAAGTGGGACAAGTGTGTTTGGCTGCACTTTGCTCTGAACCTAAAACTACTCTAAATATAAGTTAGCTGCTTTTACCCTCTGTAAAATCATTATTTTCCCAAACATTTCCACTTGATTCCCATATTAAAGACATATTGTGGGATTAAAGAAACTACTAGCTCGTAGAATAGCAGTGTGGAATTCTAACCTTGTCATGAGCCAGGCTGATAATTGTCAGTGGTTGTAATTTACAGAAAGACCACTAAGATAAGGTTTTTTTTTTCATTAAACTTGGAGATTTGTTAATCATACTGTACTAAGATGATTCTTCTTACCTGTCTTGTTAAACTGATCTGATTTCACACTTCAAATAAATGCCATGAAATATATATATATATATATATATATATATGCCTCTTCATTTGCTTAATTCATGCAATGTTCCTGGTAGATAACTTGTGACACTTAGCAGTCTTTTCTTGTCTTATTTTGAACATTGAACATTTGAACATTTTTAGTACTGTATTTTTTTAAGTTGTGGGAAGACCTCATATTGACTGAAACGTGGTCTTTGCCATGTCCTCCAGCTGATTCCTCTTCCTGACTGCTCTCTTTTCTGTGATCTGAAGAGCCCCCTCCCCACTCCCTTTGCTTTGTGGATTGACTCCTTGTGATTGTTGTGTCTCATTTGCAGAGAATCTTCTCCCTGGTTCCACAATAGTCTCTTCTCCTACTTCATTTGGGTCCAGTTCAGTCGCCTCAGAGTTCTCCTGTGGTCCATTTGTCCAGAAAAGCTTCTCGGCTGTTCTGCACATACTCTGTTGGAGATTTCCTCAGAGCATTTCTAACTGACAGCTTGATGACCTTTTGTCTGAAATACTTGGGACCAGAAGTGTTTTGGATTATTTTGATTTTGAAATATTTGCAGATGCATTATGAAATATTTTGACTATGGGATCTGAATCCAAACAGAATTCATTCAAGTTTCACATGTTCTTGGACATGTAATTTGAAGGTATTTTTAAACAGTATTTTTAGTGCACATGCATTTTGACTGGGGCCTGCTACGTGAGGTCTGGTGTGGAATTTTCCACTTGGTGTCATGTTACCATTTAACAAAATAAAAGTTTGGAGGCCTTTGGGGTTTGGATATTTAGATAAGGTTTCCCAACTTGCAAGGTATGGTATCCTTATTGTTAGCCTTTCCCAAGACATGTAAGCTCCATGAGGACAGGGAATCCATGTGTTCATATTGTGTCCTTGTTGTCTAGTGGGATGGGCTAGCATATAAAAGGTACTAATTTTTTTGTTGTTGTTGATGTAAGCGAATGTTACGATTTTTCTGATTACCCAATTACTAATAGACTTTAAAACATTTAGTCTTAATCTTTGGATGTATTTTGTAGGTAGACTATATTATTATGAACCATCTGGGTTAAATAAGTATCTTTTACTAAGAATATGAAATACTAGAATTGATGTTTGACCTGTACAGACAATGCTTACACACAATGTAATGTAACCTTCCTATGTTAAAGGACAAGAACCTGAGCAGGTGTGTGAGCAGGTATCACAGGTCATGCAGCTTGTTAGTCTCAGAGCTCTGATTATGTCTGGTAAACCAAGCATTAGATTACATACAGCCTACATGTGCGTGTTTAGTTTCTTAGTTATTTTTAATAATTGATTTTCTTTAGTTGTAACTTTGCTGTTTTCTCTCAACTTCATGCTATAGCAATTGCTTGGTCTTTTAAATTTCATAGTTCTTGCGTGCTACTGGGTGAATGGTGAATATTGGATCTTCCTTAGTTTTCTTTCTTCATAAATATAAGATCAATTTCTAATCAAAATTGCTATTATCGGGAAAGTCTAATTCCTTAGAGAACTACCTAAGTCTGAACTTGGTATATAGTCAATGAATAAGACTTGCAGTAGCTATACTCATTCAAGTGGTACAGTGTGGTTTCTTAAGGCAGGCAGTAGTTAAAAAGAGACTGTCCTTATTTCCTTTTCCTCTTCCCTATCTGCTTCTGGAAAGTTTCCAAGGGTTGTGTGACTTAATTCTCCTCTGCTAGGCTTGATTAGCAAGGATATCATTTGCCCATTACTGGGCAGTGCAAGGTTTTGTGACTCAGCTGTTTATGGTCTTAGAACCCATCTTCTAAGTAGCCAGTCAATCTCCAGCCACATAATGGCATTGCTTGTTGGTGAATGTTTAGTAACTTGTTTAGGAATGACCAGCTTGTCTGTAAGGGTAGCTACAGGGTATCTGGCAGTTGCTTTGCACTGTATAAACTCAGTGAAATCTTACCCTCCTGACAGGTTCTCATTTTGAGATGAGCTTTTCCTTTTGCTTCACATTGCTCTTCTCAGTAAGAAAGGAAAGCTTTCCTTTCTGAAGTTGTAAATGAGATGTTCCAAAAGTCACTTGTTCCCACATGGAGAAAGTGAGTAACTTTGCTTTTCAAGAGGACATAAACTTTCTCAGGCTAGAAAAACTTGAAATGCACAATTCCCAACTAGGGTCTGAGAGCTCTTGGAGAGTTTGACAGAGTGCGTAGTTCATCTTCGTGCTCTTCAGCCTGCTTGGTAACTTTCTCAGATTCTTGGTCTGTACTTGTTAAATGTTGAAGCCTCCTAGTGGCTTAATGTTTGCTGTAATTAAGGAATTAAAAATATCATTTATTGAAAGAGTGCTGTGTTAAACTAACAAAGCTTGTATGAAAGGCACTGGAATGCTCCTGTGTCGTACCAGATAGTAAATTTGGGTCAGACTGCATTGTCTATCACCTAACCTTGATGAAAAAAATTTGATGAAAAAAAATATGATGGAAAATACATAATATACATGTAAAAGTCGATTGAAATCATTGTGTTTTTATTTTATTTCACATTATCTCATTACTTAATTGGTTTTTTATTGAATGCAGCTATTTTACATTTGCAGTTAGAACAAAGATGTTGTTAATGAGATTTTGAGTACTTTGTATACATGTATTGTTTTAGATGTAGTTATTGTTTATATTTTAACTTTTTTTTAAAAGATGGAGCTATTTCCTTATGGAGAGTCTGTGGTTCATTTTCATATAGTTTTTTTTTTAATTCATACTTTCAAGTTAAATAAAATGACTTAATTGAGAAACTTGAAATGGGGACTAGTAACTGTAAAACAATGAAAAAGAACATTGGTTTAATAACTACTTTAATCAGTAAAAATATACCTTATAACTATAGTAATTTTTAAAATAGAAGTCACACAGGAAGAAATATCAATGAGGATTAGTTAGGAGGGAGAAAGAAGTGGTATCCCTTCATTAAGCATTAAAAAATTTTAATTAACTGCTTGCCCAAACACAACAATTAAAATGGCAATTACCTCTAAAGTAGCAACAGTGTAATTGCAGCCGCTGTGATCTAAAGCTGGGAAACAAAATGTTAATCTGGAATGAGCAGTTTCAATATGAAATTATGATATACTTGGCTTCCTGTAGTACAGCTGTCAAGCTTGGGCAGCTCGCTGGTCAATAGTGACATTCTGTGTGTCAGTGAGCAGCGTCTCTTGATACCATAACCCACAGTTCACACATTACCGAAGCTCCGACTGTCGAACATTCAAGTCCCCTGGTAGTATTGCAGCTTCCAGACTCTCCTGACTGGCTCATGTTTCATTCTTTGGCAATTTGCCCTAATGATATCCCTCAGGAGCTTTCAGCCTCTCTTCTTTCCATATTTAATCGTGTTGTATTAATCTGAGTGATGCGCAAACTGGGTTGCACAAATTGTCATTTCCTACAATATTTTCTAAGAGACTCACTAATGTTTTCACTTCAACTTTTATATATGGTCCAAAATTTAGCCCTAACCATATTTTCAAGTTGAATATAAAAATATGCATATGATTCCCAAGAAACTCATTTTGCTGTTTGTGTGTTTTTCAGAGGGACCTTTGAGACACAGGCTTTTCCATGTAGCATTGGTAAAAACAGTGTGAGCTATGTCACTGTGTAAATTGTTCTATGATGATCGCTCATCTTTGATACCTTGAACATGCCTTTTTCTTTAGAGGGTCAGCAGCTCTTCATTATTGTTCCCCTTCTGTGAATTTTAGTTAACTGCCTGTCTCCATGGATCGGCTGCTCTGCTCTACCCGATGTACTGGCAGCACATATACATCCCCGTGCTTCCTCCACACCTGCTGGACTACTGCTGGTAAGCTGGCCTTCGCCAGACCCCCTTCAGCCCAGTGTTCACCATTAAAAAACAAAAAGTGCTTTATATTATAGTCACTTACAGATGAAAGAAACAATAGAAACTTGATTTTCAGACTCATAAGTATAAAAAGAATATATTTTTTTTATGTATCAGAACAGTTCATTCCAAAGATAGCAAAAATTTAGATTTGTCAAATGTAGTTCTCTAAATTTTGCAATTTTATTCTGTGGTCGTTTAGAAAAAAAGATGTGTAAGTAAGAAATATAATTTCCTTTTGTGGTTCCAATATTATACAAGGAATCTGGGTGTCAGAGAACAATTATCCCAGGTATCGGAATTTATCTGTTAAATCTACCCATTATCCAATTGGCTCCATGAGGACAACCTTTCATACCTTTGCCTGTGACCCCCTTTTGCTTCACCTCCTTTCTTCTCAGTAGCATCATGAAAACAGTATTGCCAAAGCAATTGTTTCTAGGACAGGAATTTTTGAGAGTCTGGTATGAGGCAAAGTGTCAGCCTAAAGCAACCTTGAAAAACAGTGTGGAAAGTGTGAGAGCCATTGTGAGAACTGGCTGGCTTTAGAAACAGCTCTCAGTGAGTTCAGTAATCTGAGTTCAATCAGGCCACTAGAAACTAGAACAATGGCCAATGGCCTCCTTGTTCTCTCTGACTGGAATATAGCAAGGCTTGTATATAGTAAGGCTAGACAAAGAGTAGACTCCAAAGCAGAAGCTTTGATTGTGTATAGTGAAGCTACTCCAGAACTAGATTCGGATGCAGTAGTTTTGGTCCTTGAGGGTAAAGAATTGTATTCATTATGTAATCACCTGCAGGAATAGTTAAATTTTAAGAAATTTGTTAGGATTTCTTTCTCTGAACCATGCCTTTGTATACATGCATGACACACACACACACACACACACACACACACACACACACACAGAAATCATTTGGCATTGATAATTTTCTTATATCAAAGCTAGTGTTAGTAAAAATCAGTCCTTTGGAATTAATATATTTATTTAAGATTTTCAAGACAGACATTATTTAAAATTCTTTAAGGATAGTGATTATTTAAATATACGATGTTTGCACAAAGGACTGGTAGGTGTTGTATTAAGTTTCTCTGACTAGCCTTCTAAAACAATGCTTGTACTTGTCCAGATTGATTACACTGCTGTACTGTGTGTTTCCATAGTGTGGTAATAGTATTGCTCATGCTGTGAAGTGGGTGACTAGTGACTCACCACTGTTGTTCTTTCCTTAGGCACCTTGAAAGGAAAAATAGTTTTGTAGACTACAGGGTTTAATTTAATTATATTGTGAAGTGTGATGTGCACAAATCTAAGTATAAAGTCAGATCAATAAGTAAATTTTTCTGTTATTCATTTTAGAGTTTTCCTTTTGACCAACACACTAGTTTTCCTCCTTAAAGACAGAAAATACAGTTGGTTTATGATGATGTACATGATAGATTTTCACATACAAGTGTTCTGTAACTAGACATTTAAAGTACTCTTTTCTAAAAGTCTTATACAATTAAATTCATTTTGATTTTAATTATAATTAATTTAATTTGAATTTAATTATAGGATTAGAATTACATTTTGCAATAGTACTTGCTTTATAATTTTTCTGTTAAAGTGCCCTGACTTCTTATGATAACATACCTTTTACTCAATTCTATGTAGTGCTATATATTCAAATTTTTCTTAAGCATTATTTTTAAAGTATCAATGTTACACAAATTCTTTCCAGAACTATTTTCTTGGTTCTGACCCTGCTGTCAAGTCTTTACTGCTGCTTCCAGTCTAAGTGAAGAAGCTCCTCCTTTCTCCCCTTTCTTTCTTATTGCTTGCTCCCAATGCTGGAAATAGTCTTTAGCACAAGTTCCTACAGCTTCCATGCCATCTGTGGTATCCAAACAGGAACTCTCTAAGCACTGTCTGAGCCTTAAAGTCATATGATAGGCTCAGCTTTTGTTAAAGGATCTAGCAACCCATCTATGTCACTTCATCCTATTGTCAGGACATGTGATAGATGAAGCACTTTCATAGGAAAGATGATTCGGTTCCATTTATATCCTTGATATTAGGATCGTAGTGATATATGCTGAAGGAAGAAAAATGGAAGTTATCCCCTCAGTCTCAATCATCAAACAAAAAGTTTACACTAAGCTCCAAATGGGACCACATTGTTTGAGGATTACTTGTACCGTGGTTAGCTTTTCAGAGTGATTGGGATGCTGCAAATCCTGAATAGTCACGGAGCAGCAAAACATTTCTCTGTCTGCACCTGGTATTGGTGATGTGCCATAACTTTGGAGAACCATAATGCCCTCTTGTGACCATAGATGAATATCACATCTTGGTCCTTTGCCACTCTTATTACATTGTTGGTTGGTTCATTCATCCATCCATTCATGCACCCACCCACCCACCCACCCACCCTCTCACCCCTCCATTGTACCATAACTACCTATTTGGCAAGCTGTGAATATGTAATATAATGAATAAGCTTCTTTAATTGTTGATTTACTGAAAGAAATAAATACATATACATAGCTCTCTGCATACTTCCATGCACACATCCAAGTACTGAATAACCCTGTAACACTATAATTGCTATAGCAGAGTTACTCAAAGAGACATGGGTGGCAACTGAAGCGGTTAAGTAGAAAGCATTCTTCCTAAGTTCAGGAAAGCTGTTAGGAGGAAGTGATATAATCTGTGTTTTCCTCTTTGTCAAGAAAAACAACAGTACTTCAGTATGCCACATCGTTTGTCAGATACTTCAAAATGGTCTAACCCATGAACATGGCTGTAAGATTATCATAGATTATTACCATGAATTATCATCTGCTCAAGCAGTGCTTAAGTAAGTCATTTAGTTGAATTCTCCAGTTTATTTCTTTGAAACAATCAGATTTGGCTTCTAAGAAAAAAAGTAAATAAAAAAAATTTATTCCTTCAGTCTATCCTGATTGCTGCAATAGCATGTGTCAGGGATGCTTCTTTGTAAGTAGCTTAAGAAGAAAAAAAAAGTGAATTTGAGTAAAGATTCTACCACCAAGAAGAAAAGTCGTCTGTACTGTCTTTTCTAAATAATGTCACAGACAGTAGGGCTTGAAGACAGTCTTACACATAGATAATGGAGCATCTGCATCACCATTGATCTCTTCCTGATGTACCAACTCCCTCATCAAAGTAGGATGGATGATCCATCTGGGATTGCAGGTGACTTTCCTAGAGAGTTGGCCTATGTCATACTACAATATGTATAGTCCAGTGGGAAAGAAACACCTATCTATTTGACTCTATAAACATTGCATTCTGTCAAATATCATAATGATTTTAGAAAATTATACTCTAGCATTTTTAATTCAAACATATGTAAGTGTAGGAATTTGCTATAAATTAGTGAGAAAAAAATCTACAGCAATGCACCATGATCCCATTTAAGAGTTTTGAGTTGATACATTGTTAAATTTGTCATAAGAGCCTGCTACAATATAACTTTAATTCTAGCTTAATTTATATGAACATATTATTTGCATCTCAGAAAGCAAGTATCTTTCAGAAACATTTCAAAGTGTTTTTCAGGATGTATTTCCTAGGATTATTGATTAGTTTATACTAATGATTTGAGCTCTCTGGGGTGGTCAGAGTTTCTCTTAGTGTCACCTAGCACTGCTTTTCTGCAGTGAAGGGCACATCCGGGAGCCTGAGCAGTTCTGAGTAATGACAATGTTCTTCACAGCATTATATAAGCCTTTGAGAAACAGGATTTGCATTAGCAGAAATGGTTGGTATTAAAGGTCAGAGACATCTATAAGAGGATTCCCCAGAATGTGTTTTTCTAAAAAAAGTTATTTGTTCTCATATTCATTATTTATCATTTTTATAGATGTCTCTGTCTTCATGGTTTTCTGTTTAAAATTTAGTTTCCAATTTCAAGATGAATACTTTTCTTCTTGTATTTCCTAACAATTATTTCTAATATTTTCCTAATTCATATGTTATATACTAAAATGCTTTAGTACCTGTATTTTCTGCTGAAGTGTAAGATCCAGGAGGAACTGTATCCCATCTACATTGTTTATCACTGTGTTTATGTTTCTATCCAAGGACCTGGATCTGGTATACTCCTGAAATCATGACCTGAAATAACTAACTCAAAAATATTCTTAGACTTGAAAATTTTTTTATTAAAATTATTATGTTAGTACCTGGGCAGTGGTGGTGCACATTTTTAATCCCAGAACTTGGGAGGCAGAGACAGAAAGATCTCTGTGAGTTTGAGGCCAGCCTGGTCTACTGAGTGAGTTCCAGGACAGCCAGGACTACACAGAGAAACCCTATCTTGAAAAAAAAGTCATTATACTAGCAACAATGAAAGTAAAGTCAATCTGAGGTCTCACAGGAACGGGAGCACAGAGGGGACTTATTATGTCTACATCATTGGTTCTAGAATAGTGAAGACAGGATGAGATAAATATGTGATACCTTAGTGGTAGTCTTAACACCTAATACAGTAGGTATTAAGTGACATATTAGGAATTAAACAAGGGCAATCCATTAAAATATCAGAAATAATCAAGTTGAACAAGAATATGTATAAAAGAAATATAGATACATTTGATGATTATTTAGAATATATTTGCTGTCAAGTATGTGGAAAATATTCAATATAACCTATACCCTGATAGTTTTCTTAAATAAAACATGTTATTTAGGCATAGAACTTTTGATTTAATAATAAATGATTTTTAGAGATTTTTATATAAATAAACTTTAAATAATAATGGCCTATAAGATGAAATATAACTATTATACATTGAGTAATTTTGAGTATCTGTAACGTCTAATGGTGGAATGAGCACTTGAAGTTAGTTTTTAAGCATTTGAATTGCTTTTATGTTGTTTGAGTTTCAATGAAAAATATGAATGCATACATACATATATATTTTTAATTTAGTGCCCCAATGCCATACCTGATTGGAATACACTCCAGTCTCATAGAGGTGAGTATCTTTCTCAGTAAGATAGTTATGGAACTAATTAATTAGAAATAATACATAAAGGTTTATTTAAAGCTTATCTGACTAATACTAAGATGTACTTGATTGACGTTATGGATAGCCTTACTGGGTCATTTTCATATAGTGTCACTGAGATCATTTCAGTTTATGCCGTAATACTGGTTTGCCTGTTCTGGCATGAAACCCATGGAAGTGGTTGTGTTTGAAGTCACGTGGTCAGTTTTAAATACTAAAATCATTGTTCCCTGATGAACCACTGATTTCTTGCAACTTGAGATTTTCTGTATCTCATATTTAGTACAATATTTTGAAATTAAATTTTATGTGGTTGGGAGTCACCAAGTCTAATGATTTTCTTTTACACAACTTCATTATTTCCAGTTTATCAGTTGATTTTCAAAATGTGAGTTTAACATACTATAAACTTATTAACCAGAATATGGTGGCTCATCCCTGTGGTGCTAGTCCTTAAGGAGCTGAGGATTCCATTCCCACAATGCAAGATGGCTTTTGGTGCACAGGGGGCTTCCCGGTCAGGCAGAACTGAAGAGAAGACCAGGCATACTTTTCTATGTCCAAAGTTTCTGTCCTACTGTTGGAGATGGAATGAGTAGTTTTTTAAAATTAATATTTCATTTCAAAATGATTTTTGTTTGCTTACTTATCCCTAAACTGAAATTACTGAAACTTTAAACATTGGGTTTACAGTCAATGAAATTTCCAGAAAGTACTTCTTGTAAGATTGGCATGTGTGCTGTGGCACAAACCTTTAATCCGAATACTCAGGAGGCAGAGGCAAGTGTATCTCTGTGAGTTTGATGGGCAGCCTGGTCTACAAAACAAGTTCCAGGACAGCCTGGGCTACACAGAGAAATCCTGTCTCTGAAAAACTAAAACCAAAACCACCCCCCAAAAGAAAAATATGAAAATATGGCGTATAAATTTCCAAAAGGCTAGAACATGATGTCTGCTGAGTGACATCATGCTTGCTGACATCAGTTTCATTCAAACAAATTTCTCTTTTGCTGTTTGCACAGAATAACATCAATAATGCAATGCGGTTGCTAATGGACATACTGATGAATAGTTGTGGTTTTCCTGTTAGTTGCCAACACTAGTCTTTCCTTTGACTGGAGAAAATTCTTACTAAGATGGAGCCCTACCCCTGAGAAAGCTTGATTTTATGGAATTCTACCTATTCTCAAGTTTGGGGCTTTTGTTTTTCTTTTTGCAAAGTGCTAGGGCAATAGTTCTTTTGTTCCATTATTACTGAAATATAGATTGTATAGATTTTAATGCATTTTAGTAGGTTTAACATGTTTTTAATATTGGAGTCTGAGTGGAATAAATTTGTGACTCCTTACATTTTATTAATTTTAAGAAACTATTAAGTATGCAGTGTATGCAATGAGATATTAGCAGATAGGTATTTATTCTGTGATTAGATCAGGTATATAACCTGAATTTCACTAATTTGACTCTCATGAAATTATTTGCTTGGATTTTTTTCTTAAAAGTAACAGTTTGATTTTCACACTAATTGTATGAGTAGCACACAAAATTTTATAGTGGATTTAGTTATAGAGATGAAAATAATTTAAAATTGGAGAGAGTGCCTAGTGGACTTACGTTAATTTCGGTTGTGTGGAATTATTCTATAATAATCTTTACAACAAATAAATTAGACTTTTCCAAATTATGATGGTTGAGGAAGCATGTGAGCTATTTCATTTAATTTATCCCATACTTATTGGCCACTTACAAAGAAAGTTTAAATTTAAAATAATTCTTGGAAAATTAATAATTAAATTTATTTTCTCCCTCTATCTTTTCCTGAAGTAGATTTTTTGCTTTTTGAAAAATGCTATTTTAAAGAAGAAGACAATCCTAACTTTCAGTTGGTTCCTTTTGTGAAGTGGGACATTTAGAGACATAATTAGAACGTGTGAGGTTTCCACACCTTTCTGTGCTGTACTTATCTTGTTAGCTGGCACTCGGCTTATGACAGGGAGGGAGAAGGTGCATTTGAACTTCCTTTAAACCAGATGCACATCACTTGGCAATTTTCTTAGATTTTAATAAGGTGATAGTTCATTCTTCATTATGTCACTATCAAAGTTTTAAATGAAAAATTTTATCTTTTGCTTTATTTTATAATATATATGTTTTAAATGGAATTCAGGTATTTTTATAGTTAATTTATGATTCAGCGCTTTGTAACTTTTTGCTTTTGTTAACAATTGCGTCTTTTTTGGAGGAAAACTAAAGAGTACTGTTGTCTTTTTGGTCTTAACTGTCTCAGCTAGTATTATTAATTGCATAACAACCTCTGAGCTCTAAAGCATGAAATTAATGTTCTTTGAAACTTTCGCTTGTTTTTATATAATTGTGAGTAAAGAATGATGAATAAAAGTCTTTTGAAAGTAGAAGTTTATTTCTGAAATAAGGGAAACAGATTTTATTTTCCCTGAAAACCAGACTTCTGGGTGAAGTTAGTGCTGACTAATCTGTGGTTGGAAGCTGCAGATACAAGGGTGGGCTTGTTTGTTTTCATCTGCACAGGACTCTGAATGGCAATGTTAGTCCCCTTTGGTAAAGTTCTGTGCTTTCTGTCCAATGCCATTCTAGTACATTAATGTGCATAATGTGTATAGCCACAGTGTGGACAAGGGTTAATTCCACAAGCATGAGACAGCTTTACACATCATGTGTCCAACATTATGTTCTTACTTTTCTGGATGAGCATTTTATTTTCCTCTTTTCTTTTAAGTTGCACCCCATAAATATATGAGCTATAAAAATATGAGACAGAGGAAGAAGGTCCATGTCCTACTTGCATGCCTACATAGAGAAGACACAGCTAACATTTGATTTGGAGAGAAAAAAATAGAATGTTAGTATTAGTATTTTCAGATAGTTAAATTGTAATCTATTGTAATCTACTTTCCCCCACGGCTTATATAGATTTATTCTAACATTAGGGTTTCAGTTTATTAGTATTGAACAGATTGTTTTTTTTTACTTTTATCTAGTGGCTCCTTGAACAAAATTTAATTTAGTTATTATTTGCCTTAAAATAAAAAGCAATTGAAAAAGTCGATGTATCACATTTATATCATTAATCAGACTTTTGTACTAATGTCATCAAAAACATCCTTATCTTAAAGTGTTTGAACAAATTTATTTGCCATTGGAAAAAAAATACATTTAGTCTTCTGGATTATATCAGTTTCTCCCGCATGAGAACATCCCCAAAAGTGAAATGGTATTCATGTTATGACATACTTTTCCCAAAAATGGCATTATATATTTTGCTCATAAATTATTAAAATTTAGGTAATAATGATATAGTTATGCATTTAAACCTCTTAAATGTGTACACTTGAAAATGAAAAGAAATGAGTGGTTTTTAGACATCTTTATAGGATGTCAGTTATATCACCAGAAATGATTTTTTGATAATAACTTAGAGGTAGCCATCTTTTAATTTTGAGTTTTTAGTAATTGCAATGTCTTTTACAAGACAGGTTTTACAACCAGTGTCCCTTGAGAATATACAACCTACATTGTGGATTTCTAAACACAGAATTTCCCTGTCCATGGTCATCATTTTTGTAGGAAATTTAACATTTAATACTAAATACTCAAAAGATTTGAAATCCAAAATGGATTAGAGGCCCTTTAATCAGAATCAACTTGTACAAAATAATTGGTTAAATTAGTTTAAACGTGAAGCATTTAGCCAGTGGAGCTTTCCTTTAATCACAGCAGTTGGTAGGCAGAGGCAGGAGGATCTCTGTGAGATCAAGATTGGCCTGGCCTACATAGTGTTCCAGGACAGCCTGGACTACATAAAGACCCCGCTCCCACTCTCTCTCTCTTCTCCGTCTGTCTGTCTGTCTGTCTGTCTGTCTGTCTGTCTGTCTGTCTGTCTGCTGTCTGTCTGTCTGTCTGTCTTCCTCCCTCACACCCAGAAAGAAGAAGAAGAATGATGAACTTAACTAAAAGTGCTGCACTGGCGTCATTACCTTTTGCCAGTTGGCTCATATGAATGTGGAATTCTGGATTTATGGCTGTTATTTCATTACTTGAGTGTATCATTTACAACTGAGGGGTGTTGTGACAATAGAATTCAGTAATTTAAATGGATATGTGAAACAGAAAATAAACTATACTCTTTTAGGTATAACAACTTGGATACAAGTTTTATAACTTACTATTATTTGTAAACCTATTGAGATAACATTTTACTAAAATTTTAAACAACCTGGGAAGATAAGTCAATCTGATGAACTGTTAACTTTTATTATTATTATTTTTCCCCCTTGAGACAGGGTTTCTCTATGTAGCCCTGCCTGTCTTGGAGCTTACTATCTAGACCAGAATAGTCTCAAACTCAAGAGATCTGCCTGCCTCTGCCTTCCAAGTGCTGGGATTATGAATTTTACTCTTTACATTCAAATTCATGTGAGTACATAATTGGCAAATTACATATTAGTAGTCACTCCATTATCTTCTTATTTCACTTTCAGCCCTACTCATGGATGCATATTGGTATGGCAATATAGGAACATATTTATTCACTTGAAATGATACTGTAGACATTGTTATTAGTTTATATTCTCTCTCCAATGTATTTATGCTAAAATGGATTTGAAACTGGAAACAAATTCCCCTATCATAAGATTGACATTCAAATCATAAAAGCTACAGGTTTTATATTTTGATGTTTCTGTGTCTATTTTATAAGTGCTGTGCTAAATTTTTGACAGTTATTTTGATATTAGATGAGGAAATTTTCTATTTTAAGCAAATCTTCGAATGAATTATAATCAAATTTCTCAGAAAGCAAAGTTGTTTATATTATTTTATAATACTGAATTTCCCTCTTTAATTTTCCCACACTTAATGCACTAAGATAGTTTTTGTTTCCAAACTCATCATAAATTTGTAAGAAAAATATAATAAGCTTTGTTTTTCATAATTGTGTTTTTTAAACAGAGAGTGAAAAATAGATCATTGGAAGATGTGGTTGTGTTAAATGTTGACACAAACACTTTAGAATCACCATTTAATGACTTGAGCAACCTACCCAGTGATGTGGTAAGTCCAAGGGATGTCTGTGGTGAACAAGAATGTTTGTTGCTGGACCCTCAAGTTACTATTTTCCACTTTGTATTTGAACCTTTAAAGTTAGTGTATGCAAGGGTTTTAAGAAGAATCGATGTAGATTCTATTTTTAATATTTTACCTTTTGGCAGTTTAGATTTTAAATGGAATAGCATATTCCTTATTGTAAAAATGGGATCATAATTAAAAAGCTAGATGCATTCATTACACAGAGTTTCTTTAAACATTGAGTCCCTTCATCTCGTCTTAATCATTGTATTACAAAGTAGGCATTCTGTCTGCCTGGTGGCATGTCTTGCAAAAGAATGAGAGAGTTTTTGAAGGCAAGAAGAAGAAGGGGCCAATTATCGCCTTTTGCTTCCTTGCCACCTGCCAGCGCTTTTCCTTTTAATTAATGATCTGATGGCACTGGTCAATATAATAAGAAATGCTTGTACAGTTGGGGTCAGAAAATTCTGGCTTTGATCTCTCTCAACTTTCTGAAACATTTATTTGTTTTCTCTAAATTATTTCAGTTTTATTTTAATCTTTCCTGTCCTGCTGAGGGCCACAAGAATGAAAACCTACAGTTTGTCATGTGCTTTGGCAGAGCAAAGAATGCTTACTTAAAATTCTATTTGTAAATTAAACTGCAAACCCAGTTTGTCATAAAAGACATCTGATTCTTTTGAAATGACGAAAACTGTCTTTTGTCTGTAAAGCTGATAAATTAAGTGCCAGTTCTCTTAGGGTCTTTGATCTTGTGTGTGTGTGTGTGTGTGTGTGTGTGTGTGTGTGTGTGTGTGTGTGTGTGTTGTGTTGTGTTTGTAGCTTTTAATGGGACATATTTTGAATTTCATATTAAATATCTGTGTAAAATTGCAGTTTTTGGCTTTTGTGTTCTGTAGTGTAGGGCAAGATTGAAAACTAGTGTTATTTCTGTACCTATTTAATGGCTATTTAAATGTCTTTATAACATAGTCATAAGTTTAAAATAACTCTCTTAAAAAACCCCTCAAAGTATCCATTCTTTTCAGCATTATTGAAATTTGAGAATTGAAAGTAAGCTTTGCAATATCTTTTTCTCTATTTTCTCCATTATTAAGGAGCTTGAGAAAGTGAATTTAAAAATCTACAATTTAAAAGATACATCATAGCCAGCTCATATTGTTCTTGTGGCTAGTGATAGGAAAATGGGAGCTTTTTAGTAGGCATGTTACTTTTGCTTATCAATAACCAGACGATTTCCTGACTTTAAGCTCATTAAACTGAACTGTGCATTCGTTGAAGTAAAATTGTTGTGTGTGAACTATCCAAACTCAGGCCAGTGGACACTGAGATTCTCTTCCCAGCTCAGTGCAGCCAGCTGCTTCGTTAGGAAATCTGCAGAGACTGGACTGCTAGGAAAGATACTCTAGGCATTGAGAAATCCGTCCAAGTGGTTTTCGCTGAGTAGAGAAATACTGACAAAAATAGAATTCCAGCTTTTCAAAACATTTTCCTTATGGTATGCACATTTACTACTGCTTTGTTTCAGGAAAAAAGGTGTTTACTAAAAAGAAGAGCGAGAGGAACACAGCTTTCCTTTCTCTACGTGATATTAAAATCTGTGCAGTGCACTGAGCTCCTGGCTTGAGAAGAGCCTTTGAAGTTTCAGTGTACTGGGAATCGCTTTTAACTGAGAAGCACTTCTCTTGTAGATGTTTTTGTAATTAAGATATCGATTTCAGTGTATAGGGATGCTAAGCAAGAGTCACAGATATACAGATACAAATCTAGATCATTACAGAAGAGTCAGTATGCTGCTTGTTTAGCACTACTGACTGCCATTGTAAGCATGCAGAAAAGGAGCATTGCAGCTAGTGCAGGCAGATTGCAAAGGTGCTGCCATTTGAAGGCCTCAGACTTGCCGACAGCTGAAGATTCAGCAAGTAAAAGCTCTGAGATGGAGCAAGAGCCATTTGTTGAAATAGGTGTTTTTTTTTTGTTTTTTTGTTTTTTTTTTAATATTTTAGGCAATTGTTCAACTCATCTCTAATAAAGTTCTCATTTTCATCAGTTTTTCAACATTGCCGTTCAGAGCTCCACACAGTTTAAAATGGTGAATGTTTTAAATAAGATCTGATAAAATTCTGAATGATAACAGTTTATGTGTGATCTACATTAATAAATATTTTGGAAGCCTGAAAGGTATTACTATTGGCCCTGTTTGATTAGTTAGTAAGTTAACTAAGATTTAAAAGGGGTCCCTTCTAAAGCGTCCCCCACAGCATTTAAATTACGCTTACAGGCAGGGTGACCGTGTGTGCATGTGCACTCTATTACTGCTGCATATTGACCAGTGGCCGCGGCTGCTCAAAGGTCAGTGGTCACAGTTGTCCTGAATTACTAGTTCTCTTTTCCTGTGGACCCTCTGGTGCGTTGCATGCTGTAATCTTCTTAATGGCTTCATTCCAATATTCACACATAATATTTTAGATTTATTGACTGTTAGAAATACTACCACGCCAGTAGCACTTCCGCTGCTCTTAAGGTATTTAAAATTGGAAAAATAAATCAGGGCAGGCTGCAGGAATCCTTTGTTTTCCTTTTGGGAAGAAAAAAAAAAAACGCCTTTCTTCCTGTTTTCTGACAAGAACACTTGCTTTTTGATTTCATCATTTCACTATAGATTTGGATCATCAAAACAAAACAGAAGCTAAATGTTTTATTGGGAATGATTTTAAGGATGTTATTTCACAGGAAAACTTCTGAAGACAGTGACACACTGAAACTCTTTTGTAGCCTGTGTATGAAAGTATTGTGGCTTTATTTTAGTAATATGCCGTGCAGACATTTTAAACATATGTAGTTGGAATATTTTGAAATAAAAGAGTAAACTTCAGGGCTAAGTAACCATCAATCAAAGTTAGTGTTATGGTAGTGTGTTTAGGAGAATCAGAAGAAAAGTTCAATTATATATAACAGAGTAAATTTCAAATGATTTCATTTAATTTCAGAAAATGAACTATTGAAATCCCCCATTCCATATATTTATAGGCAGATTTAGTTTAATTATGTAGTAATTTAAAATTTTGTGTTTCTTACTTTTACTGTTCATTTTAATTTTTGTCATTATTAATACTTTCTAATAATTGGGGAAATGTTGCTGCTATTCATAAAGTAAGAAGGTAACCTATTTACTTGCTGGAAAATTAGGCTAATAATTAAAATTATAGTATAATTTAGGAAGTGTACTCTCCTAGGAATGTTAAGATCAGCAATTATAAACCAAGTCTTATAGATGAAAGCAGCCCAGAGTTGGCTGACAGCTGACAAAGCTACTTGTATTAGAATATTCATTACAACAGGCAAGTGGTTTTTGCATAACCATCTTTAGATAATTTTAATTTATTAAAGAACAAGTTTTTATTTCTGTAAGAAAACTGAGGCACAGCAAGTATATTGTTGATAGCTAGGACTTTAGTGGATAAAGTTGGTGTTTGTATCTATACCCCAAATAGTTCTTAGTTCTTCACAGTAAATGTGAAGTACATTTCTGAGTAATGCGGAACTTATTTACAGTTTCGCTCACAATCAGCCTGCTGTTCTTACCTTGCTAAAAGAATAGCAACATGATATATTTGATTTAAAAATTCTCAGCACTTGTTTTTTTAAGATATTTTATCTGCAAGTACTATTGTTGGAAAATAATTGTTTTCTGTGATAAAAGTTTGTAAAAGTATCTACCGCCTTAAATGTTTTACTGTGTGGCAATCATTATAATTAAACTCGCATTTATCAAACATGTGTACCTTTCCATGCTACCTTAGGCACTGTTAAACTGGGGCACATTGTGATAGGATACCTAGTTTTGGTATAAAATCTTTTAATTACTAAAATATTAGGGAACACTTCTTATAAGTGGCCTAATGTAAACTATCACACTGTTACAATGGTGTTGTAAATAGCCTTTGTAGGAATATGCTAATAATTTGTTTGTGATATGAAAAGTGAAAGGCACAAATTACCATGAGAACTAGAGAAAACCTCCAAAACACAAACTTGAAATTAAATTTTTGAGTAGCTACATTTGACAGTTTATTTATTTGGAAATCAGTTTAGAAAAGAATTGGCTATTTTAGAAGATTTTTAAATTAATTTAAAAATTATAAAGTATACAAGTTTTATATTTGGCCATGAATATTATCAATACATGTCTGATTCATTGACTAGATCCTCTAATTTAACATGAAGGCTTTAACAAGTTAAAGGGCACATATGTGTTATAAAGAAGATAAGGCTCCGACCTATGTTTTCAGTCCCAGGTTTGTCCCAGCTCTGCAATAGTCCTGATCGTGCTGAATGGTCAGTGACATCTCTAACTAATGCCAGCGGTATTCTATACTGGAAAGATAATACCACTTCCCTCCAATTAGAGCATGCCATGGAGAACATTAGTGGGTAGAACAGACTCAAGGAAACAAGCCTGGTTTCCGTTGTCCTTGAAGACGTCTCTGCCTGCTCCTCCTCAGCTTCCAGGATTCTGGCACCAGTTGTCCAACTCTCTCCTGCACCAGCCTCTGTGTTCTGCTTTGTAAAGAGTAAGCACTGGATGAGTGAGTGTGGACGAGAAATACAATTACACTGTTCAAATATCTTGACACAGAAGTTTGCTTTTTAAAAATCTCTATGTAGTAATCATTATATAAGGATATTTTCATTTGATTCTCATAATGGACTCCCCCCCCCCAAAAAAATGGAAACTCAGAATCTATTTTTTTTATGCAATTCAACATTTTATTTTTTGCCTGCTGGAAAATGCTCACTGGGAGGGCATTCTAATTGTCTTTGAAAACTCATCGTCTTTTTAAATGATTATTTTCATAGATGTAGTCATTTCTAAAATAAGTTTTTTGTTTGCTTCTAGGTAAAATATTCCAGATTTTACTATTTCCCTACACTTTTCTCATTATATAGTTTTAATACAAGGCTTACATACAAAAAGAGGAAAG